TCTAAATTGATAGGATCCTTTAGTTTACTAGAATTAATAATGTCTGTTTTCTCTTCAAAATTTCCACTTGAAAATCCTTTTTTCAACAAAGAGCACACAATACAGCCACAATTTACCACATTATTATTGTTCACAGACACAGTGCATAGTTCCTCCATTTTACAAAAAGAAAAACAACTACGAAAAACAAACCAAAATCTACGATTCTCCTCACACGTCAATTTGCGATGAGAATTGCAATATGCGTAAGGCGTCTTAAAAATCGCTGCCCCTTGACCGTGTTTCTCGTTTCCAAACGGACTGACTACATTGTCACGGCAAAGCAGGGTCATTAACACGAAACCAAACCTATTGGAAGATGAACCGGCTCTTTGAAGACGCGCTTCCGCCGACGGACTCGAAGTATAGGGTGTGTACGTTTACACAATTAATTTTCTCATGGGTGGTGCGTTCGTTTACACATTACACCAATGAAATGTTAGTACATTTACGAAGTTTACGTAATGTTTCAGAGAAAATATAGCACCTAATTTAATATTAATTTCTACGCATTTTAAACTGAAAAATATCTATTTTTAAATCTCACACTGTAGGAAAGCGGTGCTTCCCCCGCTTCCATGGACCGCACGCCCCTGACTACCTCACTCATTTTCACTTCTTATTTTACCTATATAGTACCGAAACCTCGACCAAATCGCATAAACCTTGAAGCTAAACTAAAGTGATTAGGTAAATTCCACACCAATACTACCCAGGGCCGGATGCTCCCGTGTAGTGATGCCGCGAGACGAGAGATTATCATCGCTCGACGAGAATTTCTCGTTTCTCTCGAGCTCTCTCGGGCTCTCTCGAACAATTTTCTCTTTACTTATTTGAAATTTTCAATTGCTTATCGTAATTTAAAATTTTAACATATTAGATATGGAGATAGTCAAAAAGTTAACTATACACACCTATTCTATCTATATTAAATGGTAACAAATGACACTTGTGTTATTAGGATTTTTATAAATAGTGATTTATAAGAAAAAATATTTCTCATTTCATTTATTTAAAATATATACAATTATTTCTTATATTTAACCCATTCTGCTTTTCTGAGGTTACTTTTGAAGATAAGTTGAAAATTTTTAAGCTTTTTTTCGAAAAACTGTCAAAGAAAAGGTAATACAAACGAATGTATTATACAGTGAGGACGAACATTGTACCCTCTACTTTTTTTACTTCTAAATGAAAAAAAGATAATGACAAAACAAAAACGAGGTAAAACTCAAGAGATATATTTTTGTTATAAGGAGATGCACTTTACTTGGGACACGTAAGATAGAGGAAGTTACTAGCTTTAAATTTTTTAATGGAAAGTAGGGTCATGTGATACCTCATTTGAAAGATATTTTCTATATTTTTACGTTCATGTAAACAGATTTAGGTTTTATATTTTTACAGAAATTACATTAAATAAATTCATAAAGAAGGTTAAATTCTTTTTTATTTACTGCTTCAACCTCAAAGGTATAATAACTTATAAATGCTGTTTTTTTACAATAGTATACAATAGATAAATAACATTTTAGCTAGTACAGAGTAAATGTCAGTATCTTTTATAAATTTAAGTAATTTTTTATTGTTAGAGGGATTTAACACTGCACAAATGGCAATTTTTTGTAGCTGGTACTTTGTTCTTATACAGACATGTTCTGGGCCTTTACTAATAAGTAAAAAATAACTCTCATATTAACAATTATTGTTTATTACTAAGGAAACGCTTCTGGAATTTACTAAAATAAATAAATTAAGAATATCAAAGGTGATTTAAAAGCCACTTAATTAACGTATTAAATTTTTCATAACTTCTTGGCAAGAAAAGCTTATTAAAAAAATTCTCTTCTAACATTTCTAGGATTATTGCGGCATACGAGGATTATCAAGAATGTAATTTTTGTAAAAACAAAAAACATTAAAACTGTTTGCTTGGACGTAAATAAAATCAAAATATCTTTCATATGAGGTATTACATGAATTTACTTTCCATTAGAAAATTTAAAGATAGTAACGCCCTCTATTTTACGTCTTAAGTAAACTGCATCTCATTATAACAAAAATATCATAATGTTTCTCTAATTTAACATCGTTTTTGTTTTGTCTCTATCTTCTTGCATTTTGAAAACATACTACAAAATGCTTTCATTTGACATCGCAGCATTGCGTTAGAAAAATTCAAACTTCCAATTTAACCTCTTCCCCCCTCCTCCCCAACTGACTTACAAGACAAAGTATTTTCGTTTTTAGTTAATGCCCTAATCAGGGTCACTTATAACTTCAAATTTCAATTGTAAAACGACTGTGACAGACGGACAGACAGAGAGACATAAGTGTTTATTATTGCCTAATTTGGGTACTAATGCGCACATTACTTGAAAAATTCTTGGTTTTTGTCTTAAAAATTGTATTGTTCTATCACGAGAGAAACGAGACGATACAAGACGAGAGAAAGGCTCTCTCGAGCGAGAGAATCGCCTTCTCGTCGAGACCAGAGAACAGTTTTCTCTCGCCCTACGAGACGAGAGAGTGGCCTCACTCGCGGCATCACTACTCCCGTGTTCAGTTTTCGTCTGCCATGTGCATGACGTCACTAATAGCCTGACTCTCATTAGGGAGAGGGGAGTGCTTATTTTCTCTGTAAAGCTACAACAAAATGTTTAATACAAAAGATGTTTATTAAGATTCGGATCAGAAAAATATTAAAAAATATAAAATGGCTAATTTCATATATCTTTACGCGTTACTTTCGCTGTAAAATTGGTCTCTGGGATTTTTGGCACGAATCTTGCGGGAAAGGTTTTTTATATTAAGTTTATCTTTCCTCTTGCTAAGATGCAACCACTTGTTACTAAGGTTAGGCTCTTTAGGAAAACTAAAAAATCTTACAAACATTCTTACGAAATATTAATATTATCATGTTTGTTCCCCGAACAGAAAATATTAATTTTTAAAGTCCATTTGAGAGCATCGTCCCTGTTCCGGCTAATACACAACCTTCCTTCACGTTTAAAGCGAGACGATTTTCTACTATAAATTGCAACAGACTATAAGCAGTACGCGAACAGAGTGTGGCAGTACTACACCAACATTGTATTTTGAGAATACTTGATCGTGATTTAAACCATTTAAAAAGTAGTTCAGACCTTTTTATTACGGATGAAACATCCTTTGTGTTAACATATTTACTAAAATCAAAAAATATTTTCCTAGCCTTCTCTGTTCCACCATGGCAGTTTGGTTTTGGTAGCATACAAGCTACGTCTTCTCTTTCTAATATATCTTCATCTTTTGTTTCAGAAAAGAAAAACTTTGCATTCTCACACTTTAACACGTCCCATATACGACCACAGAGTGTCCCGAAATATATCACTGTTTGTTTTTGTTCAAACTTTTTTTTAACCTGTTAAAAGATATTTTTTTTACTAGATATATATATTAAAAACATCTAAACTCAATCACATCTATTATTAGTCTTAATTTCAATTTTAAACATCTAGACAGTTTTATAAAAGTATAGAAGAAAAAACATCACACACCAAATCACGAAGAGGTTTCGCCATATTGCGGTGTCGATAAATGTGAAATCTGTGATTAATACATTTGGTGATAATTTGGTTGGCACAAAAGGCACATTTTAACGGATAAATAATTCTACTGTTAAATGAAAGGTGCCCTCTGGCTTTACCCAACTGTAGGTATACAATGTCTCACAATATACCACTTTCCCCTATTAATTTTTAAAGGAACAAAATTCAGTAGAAATCAAAATAGGTTCTAACAATCTCCATTGACAACGTTTTGTGATTTGTGCTATAATTTTTAGAAATATAAAAACATGAATTTTTAAAATTGCGGGGCTCCAAATATCTCCGGGGCCTCGGTGCTCTGCAGCGAACTTCCCTATCACACTGCTTCCACTCTTTTTCTATAAGCTCGGGAAAGTACCGCTGAATTTTCATTTCAAGGGATTCAAGGTGCTCAGTAAACTCTTCAGTAGAAATCAAAATAGGCTCTAACAATCTCCATTGAGAACGTTTTGTAATTTGTGCTATAATTTTTAGAAATTTAAAAACATGCATTTTTAAAATTGCGTGGCTCCAATTATCTCCGGGTCCTCGGTGCTCTGCAGCGAACTGCCCTATGATAGCTACGCCACTGCTCCCACTTTTTTCTATAAGCTCTGGAAAGTACCGCTTAAATTTCATTTCAAATTTCAAGGGATTCAGTACACTCTTCCTTCCGTTATCATCCTGTTCATCTTCAGATTGGTTTACCACACCGCACCACACTTTATAGGTAAATGAGGTGAAGTGTACTTAAAAACTTGCAATCAAGCGGTGATATGTTTATAGAAAACTAATGATAATATATTAGTAAAAACTTCATTCGATATTACTGCTAATCACGCCTGAAAGAATGAGATCCCGTTAAAAATATTGTCTTTTCAAATTTTGCTTTCATAATAAAGTCATTATTGACTTTCATAATAGCCGTTTTTTATCACAATATTAAATAACGAAGCACACATAGAAGAATAGATGTAAAATTCATTTATTAATGTAGAATCGTCAAAAATTATATAATAATTTAGGTTTACAACATTCATTTTGTAACAATTTGTCAAAGTATCAGTAAATGTGTATTGCAAATATTTGTGAATTGAGGGCTACATAATAGAAACAGGGCATTTGTCCCGAGTAATGGATGTCGCCAGATGGCCGTTTTTATTTAATAACACGTGGTTGAAATATGGTTTAAAAACTGTTATAAAATGATTTTGAAAATTTAATAAACTTTTCTTATTTAAAATTATTGACAATTAACGATTTAGTTATATAACATTATTTGCTTCTTTTATGAGCGTTTATAACAACCAAATCCAAAACATAACAAATAAATGAAAAGAAAGTGGAAAATAAAGAAACTATATTCATTAAAAAATTGTGTTTTTTTTTTAGATCCAAAAATTAAGGCAACTGTACGTAAACATCTGCTCTCGAATACTGGCGATTTAGAAAAAACTTCCAAGCTACCAGCAATACACACGGCCAACATAACCTCAATTTCTAATAACAAATCAGAACCAGCTATACATAAGGTATGGAGGATTATTGTTAATTATCATATTTTTTATGATTTTAATATTTTTTAATTGCTTAAATTTAATTTGATTAAAAAAAATCACGATTCAAGGCTCACAATAATGCGCTTGTCAACCGACTGGGCTCGACGAACGGTAGTTACTCAGAAAAAGAACCACTGCTTCCGAATCAGAACCAGAACCAACAGCACCATCATCATCACCACCATCAACAGCAGCAGCAACAACCTGAGGAAAGCCGGCCGTTGCTGGAGGAGCACGAACGACTGCAATGGCAACCATTGGCCACTGCCAACAACGACCAAAACAACAAATCCAAGGGCCAACCCAAATTCGAGGCGTACATGATGACTGGCGAGCACATATTGAACATTTCGAGGATGCCACAAACGACGACGGCCATCGTACCTAAGCAGCAGAAGAAGGTGAGTTTATTATTATGGACGCGTAAAGGAACTTAGAACTTGGAAAAATCGATTTTTTTTTTTTAGTTCTAAATCGGACAAATCGATTTTCCCGAGTTATAAGTCGGAATAATCTATTTTTCCCAGTTTGAAATCGGAAAAAGCGATTTTTCTGAGTTCTAAGTCGAACAAATCGATTTTTCCGAGTTTCTAGATTTAATTAGGACTGTGATCCATGTGGCCTCCCCACCTCGACTTTTTCTTCTGATTTCTAAGAATAATCTATTTTTTCCGAGTTCTAAGTCGGGCAAATTGATTTTTCAGAGTTCTAAGATGGAATAATCTATTTTTCCGATTTCTAAGTCGGACAAATCAATTTTTTTTTTGAGTTCTAAGTCGGACAAATAGATTATTACAAGTTCTAAGTGAGAATAATCTTTTTTTTCGAGTTTTATGTCGGACAAATCGATTTTTTTAAATTCTAAGTCAGAATAATCTTTTTGCGAGTTCTAAGTCGAGCAAATTGATTTTTCAGAGTTCTAAGTCGGAATAATCTATTTTTTCCTATTTCTAAGTCGGACAAATCAATTTTTTTCGAGTTTTATGTCGGAAAAATCGATTTTTTTAAGTTCTAAGTCAGCATAATCTTTTAGCGAGTTCAAAGTCGAGCAAATTGATTTTTCAGAGTTCTAAGTCGGAATAATCTATTTTTTCCTATTTCTAAGTCGGACAAATCAATTTTTTTTTTAATTCTAAGTCGGACAAATAGATTATTACAAGTTCTAAGTGAGAATAATCTTTTTTTGCCAGTTCTAAGTCAGACAAATCAATTTTTTTTCGAGTTCTATGTCGGACAAATCGATTTTTTCAAGTTCTAAGTCAGAATAATATTTTTTGCGAGTTATAAGTCGGGTAAATCGATTTTTCAGAGTTCTAAGTCGGAATAATCTACTTTTTCCGATTTCAAGTCGGACAAATCATTTTTTTTTTGAGTTCCAATTCGAACAAATAGATTATTACGAGTTCTAAGTGAGAATAATCTTTTTTTGCCAGTTCTAAGTCGGACAAATCAATTTTTTTCGAGTTCTATGTCGGACAAATCGATTTTTTTCAAGTTCTAAGTCAGAATAATATTTTTTGCGAGTTATAAGTCGGGTAAATCGATTTTTCCAAGTTCTAAGTCGGAATAATCGTTTTTGGCGAGTTTTAAGTCGGGCAAATAGATTTTTCCAAGTTCTAAGACGGAATATTCTATTTTTCCGAGGTCTAAGTCGCACACATCTATTTTCCGAATTCTAAGCCGGACAAATCGATTTATCAGAGTTCTATGTCGTAAAAATCGATTTCTCCGAGTTCCAAGTCGGAATAATCTATAAGTCGAACAATTCGATTTTTCCGAGTTATAAGTCGGAATAATCGATTTTTCCGATTTCTAAGTCGGAAAAATCTATTTTTTTCGAGTTTTTAAGAGATTACTTGGGTATAACCTAAAGACAACTCGCATTATTAAGCTTTTTTTTTTTAGATCGAAAATCTGAGGTATCACAACAGTCACGTACACCATCTGAGGCATCAGCAGCACAACTCGGTGCCGAACAGCCCGAACGAATCGGATCTTGGCCACAGGAGCGTCAACGCCGGCAAATCAGGCCCCAATTCGGCCACTACTTCCCCAATCAGTGCCAACAAGAGGGATCAGCACCAAGCGTCTCCGTCTGATCCCTACAACTTCGTAAGGACGAGTCGATCCGAGGTCAGAACAAAATAATTGATTTTTAAAAAATAGATGCAAGCCTTGACAAACACTAGACTTTCATTAGAAATTTAACGAGAGCTGTTCTGACAAAATTTCGAGAGTAATTTTGTCTAACAGATCGAGTTAAATTACCTATATGAAAGTAAGTACGAAAAATCGATCAGTACATTAGAAAATTTATCCTCAGGACCAACTGCAAGGTCAAAACGACCTCTACAGCGTAAGCGTGGCTAATTCGGAAGTCGACGAAGACGTGACGAGCTCCTTGAACACGCTGTTGGACACTAGACCGGACAGCGCCAATTGCAACAGCGACAGCGATCGCATCGTGTGGACGTACAACGCGCCCATTTGCGATCAGCACAAGTTCGTGCACGCCATGTCCAACGGCAGCAGCTCGTCACACAGCAACGTTTCGCCCACGTCGTCGAGCCCCCTTCATTCTTCGGGCTCGCCCGCCTCGCCCACTTCAGTGTCTTCCTCTGTGATGTCCAGCCAATCAGGTACGAATGTTATTTATTTCTTCTTTAATAACGACGCAATTTTAATTGTTTATTTTGTAGAGGAAATTGTACCGTGATGGTTTCTACATAAATCGAGTTACCATGACAATGATGTCAGATGTCACTATCATTTGTCATACTGTCGTAAACAAATATCTCACTAATATTTTAGGTTTGGTTGGATTCTGTAATATAAAAAGTGCAAAACTCAATTTATATCACTAATTTATTGTGGATAGTTATTCTTAAACGTCAAGAAATAAACCAAGCTTAAACTAACATTTTTTTTAGTAAATTCGCGATAAATTCGGTAAATTCAATGTAAACTAAACATATTTAAGGTTTTGACAACTAAGACAGCATCGACAGCCCCGTTGTCATGGTTACTTTGCTTTGTTTAGATAAAATGAAATCGTACTGTCATGGTTCATTTTTAACTTGTATATTTTAACAATTGACATTTGAAAGACATACATTATTTTTATTACTGGATACCAAGTAAGATGATTTATTTTCAGTTATATTCTCATTCCCCAATTGCGAAGTTTTTGAAGCATGTTTAATTTATTTAAATTTAATAAATATAAAATAGATAGGCAATAATCAAAATGTGGCTGCATTATGGTTTTTATACAGTGATTTTGGTCTCATTTTATAAATTTTGGGAAATTCTACTACAGAAATAAAGTTTTTTAAATATTTTTTAATAAATATAGTTAAATTAAAGGCTATCGTAATTTAAATAATTGTCTTTTTGACATCAGAAACATATTGCTTTCCTTACATTTAATTTTAGTTTATTTATATTCAAGTATTTATTCATATATAATAATGAGGCATTCATCTTCTCTACGGATTTATCCAAATTCGCATCATTACAGTCTATTTAAGTATCGTCAGTAAAAAAAATTAATAAATTCACAAACGACAAAAAGTTCAATATCATTAACCCGTTCACTGCCAGAGGATGCTTTAAAGCGTCCGCGTTACCTGCGCATGAGTACCGCTGGCGCTTTAAAGGGCCCACGACTACCTGTTGGTAAATGCAGAGTAAGTAGGACTTCGGTACTTAGGTGACGTCAGGGTTAAACTGATCGGCTGTGAACGTGTTAATGTATAACATAAAAAGGAGATGACCCATTACGTTACCTTGAGGAATCCCCATATCATTAGTTATGGCACAGGATGTTAGACCAACAAAATGTCAATTTTGATAAAAATATTTGCCTGTCAATTATTTCAAAAGTTCTGTTTCAGTCCAAAAATACTACTAAGACATATTTATTTTTATCTAATGTAGATTAGATGTTAAAAAATGAAGATTATAAATTTAGAGAATAATCCGAGAATTTTTTATAAATTTTAATTATAGTCTGAGAATATTCTGTATTAAACTGTCAAATGCTGACCAATGTAATTAAATCGTCTTATTTTGGTTCGAGGGACATTATAATAAGACTACTTTTTTTGTAGGATCAAAGCGAACGCCATACAGCGTGTCGAACGGCCCCACGGGTTTGCCGCATGGTGGCGGCGGCGATTTTAGCGTTTCGGAAGCGGTCTCGAACATCTCCAGTCCCGATTACCACGATGACGATATCGTCGGTTTGAGGGATTGTGTGATGGAGATTAGTGACCACAGTGATAGTGATAGTACATTGTTAGTGTCCGAACCGCGGCAGAGACACATCATGGTGCACAATAGCTGCAGCAGCGGAGGCAATTCGGACAGTAGTGATCATCGCATTGTGATACAAGTGAAGGGACCTGATAAAGACAGGCATAGACAGAGTGATAGTTTGTCGACGTTGAAAGGGGACGGTGATGGATATCAGGTGAGTCGCAAATTCGGCAAAAATTTTTCTTATTTATAACTATAGTCATGTATAAAATGCATTCAAAAAATTAATTAAGTCTATTGCCACTGTCAACTTTGTTAGGCACACAAATTACGTCATCACTAATGTAGTGTATTGAGAAAAATAAATCAATTTTTGGCGATCAAACGGACCGGTAACATTTTTGCGGCCGCTCGAGAGAAAGTGTTGTGACATCATTGTTTGCTACCGTTTCAAGCGGTTTATATTGACAGTTGACATTCTGAGTTTCTGTTAAATTATTTGAATTTTTTAGTTAAAATTAAGTTTCCTCCCGTTGTCTATAAATTAAATATTTCCATATTCATATAATTATCAATCCATAGCCATTTATCATCAAATTCATTTAAATCTAAAATCTTTTTAAATTTGTACTCTCGCACCCGAATATTTTTTTTTTAAGTAAAATATTTACTATCTGTCAAAGTTTAAAAAAAAATCTTCAATAAATGAAATAGTAAATATTTTGACAGAGTTTTTAATTTATGTCGAAAATGGTTTATTTTTATCCAACTCTTGTAGCATAACATAACCTCTTCCCAGCTCATCAAAGTCTTCATCATACTCATTACATTCCCTTTCTAAATAAAAACAATATTCTGTAACTTTCAACAATAACATTCAATATAGCAACGTTACAAACCACATGTGTCATATTTTGTGGAAGGAAATGATGTTAAAAGTTAGGTTAAACAGACAAAATGATGTAATTTATTATAATATAAATTAAATTAGTAAATTAAACACGTGTCTAATTTTAGTTAAAATATAAAAAATAAGTTACTTTAATATACTCCGGATAATAGGACGAAACCCATTTGACAACAGTTTCTGTGTTTAGCATTTAGATAGAATAAAGAGGAGATGGATGCTATGACAATATTAAAAGTATCCGCACCTTTCAATTACACTTTTACGTCATATCTCAAACTCGAGCTAGTGGAGCCATTTTTTAAAAATAGCTTTATTTAAATGACATTTTCATTCTGTCAATCTTCAAATATAAAATTATAAATCAAGGTAGGACTAAGTTGCCATTTTGATTACAGTTTTCCATCACTTGAAGTGCATTTATCTGTCATATTGCAAAATAATGTTTATGTGCTCTCTACTTCATTCTATCTCGATGCAGTTTAGGTATGAATATGAAGACTAGTCTTCATAGGTATGAATAACCGTTTTAAAGAGATGAACCAGAAAACACTTCGGTTATACTCTGGGTTAACTTTAAAATCACGTGACTAAGGCCCTAAAAAGGTTACCGATTATTGTAACGCATTTAAGTTAAATCGTTTTTTAAATAAGGAAAGACATTTTGATATTTAATTTGTAGGTTAATTGTTATTGGTTCTAAAGTGGAAATTGAGGAAAATTCGTTAACACTTATTATTAGTTTTTCCTCTGCTTTTCCTTATGAACAACGATATAACAAATTTAATTCACTACCTTGTTAGTAATGGTATGGATTATAAGAAACTGGCTGGAATAAAATTGTGTGATGTTGATATGATGCCAAAAAGAATAAGATTTGAAGATTGGATGTTAGAATTTAAGGTAGTTTACTCATAAAACTTCTTTTCTTAAGAATTCAATAAAGTTTAAATATAAGGTTAATGAAAGTGTCTTTTACGTAACTAAAACAAATTAAATTTTTTTGACCGTCTGCGAAACGAGATATTAACAACCAAAATGTTCATAATTAACACTCTTGAAGCGTGTCATGTACACAAGAATGCATTTATTTCAAGATATCCAAAAACGATTTACTATATTTTTCGAAAAATAATGAAATGTAAATCAAGAAGTTATACAATTTCCTAAAATCTCTTAATTTTTTGACCGTTTTGGTAAAAAGATAGATTTTTAAAATAAAGATCATTTTAAATCAGTCTACGCGTAGTGGGGTACAGTGATTACAACTTGGCAACATTGTAATCGCTACACACTTGATAGTCCACCATTCCAATATTTGCGACATTGTCGGATGGATTTTACTCGAAATTAATAATACAGCTTCTTTATTCATCAAGTTTCAGTATAAGTGTAAATATATAAAATAGATAAAAATAATATTGGAAAATGTCTTTAATTTGTTAACTAACTAGTCAGTTTTTTGTATGAGTAAAAGTTTGTGCAAAAGGCGATAGTTATTGAAAGTCAACCAACCTAATTCTTTCATTTTATTTGAGATATGATCAAATTTTCGAATTCCATAGGCAAAACGTAGACATCTAATCTGATTTTTTTGTAAACGCGCGGAATCGGATTGGAGTAAGGCTGGACCGTAGATAGAATCACAATAACTGAGTTGTGTGAAAAGCAGGTCTCAGTTAGGGTACAACTGTCTTAAGACGTTGAACGAACTTTGAGATATGGTGGAGGTTTGTTTACTAAAACGAAGATCAGAATCTAACCAGAGACCTAGCTTTTTCCTTCATTCATGAATTGAAGGAGAGCATCGCCTAATTTAATTTGTAATTCGTTTATTGTTGTTTTAATAATTGTTTGCGGCCAAATAATATGATGGATGATTTTTTTAGAATTTATTTTAAGGTTGTGAGCTGTAGAAATATCAAGTAAAGCATTTAAATCGTTAATAAGATTATGGGCAGTACGTAAGCATTCATTATTAAACGAGTGATATAACTGGGTACATCTGCATGTTGATACAATTTTTAACAAAGCAATGAAAATCTGCTATATATAGAGAAAACAGCATTGGTTCCAGGATGGATCCTTGTGGAACATCTTGAATAACAGGTAGACTGCTGGATACAACAGCTTCCAAAATAACTTTATGAGTGCAATTGCTAAGAAAATTAGCTATTAAACAAACGGAATTATAAGAAAAACCGAAAAATTTCAGTTGTTTTCAAAGTGTTGGATGATCTAAAGCAGTGTTTCTCAAACTTTTTTGGCGACTGAACCTTTTTGAAAAGCGAAATATTTGACGGAGCCCTAAACACATTTCTAAAAAAAAGGTCCTCAGTCAAAATCATATCCTCCTTCCTCAGTGACTTCTATGATTATGACTATTATTTTCTTCACAGAGCACACTTTGAGTAACGCTGATCTAAAGTATCAAATGCATTGCTATAATAAAGGAGAACCAAACATCTGACTTTTTTCAGATCTGTCGCCTTAGAGAGGCAATCCGTGATAGATAAGAGAGCAGTGGTCGTACTATGCATCAGTGTAAATCGCAAAATGCTTAACTCCTTTTTTCTGAAATGCGGATTATAACTCCATTTAGTACCAAAATGGTATATTAACCATCTGAGAAATGCTTATTTTATTATTCATCTAAATTATATTAATTCTCATAAAAACAAATTCCGTTTACATAAGTTCAAGGGCTCTAATTTAAATTAGTTTTTCGGCTCTCCTGTAAAATTTTCCTGAATGGAGTTACGTACTTTGCTATTTACACTAACGTATGGTGCCTTCTAAAGCCAGATTGAGCTGGAGTTATTATATTTTGTTCATATACATATTTGCTAATTTGATCTTTAAGTATTTATTTATTTATTTATCATAGAGTTTACAAATAATTTAGAAATTACAAATAATATTCTCTACACTTATACACATTTTAGAAATTCAAAACAAGTAATTACAACTAAAAACACTTAGAAAAACTTATAGAAATAAGGCACATAGCCTAAATGCCAATGCATCAGGTACTTAATAAAATAATAAAGAATGAGTGTGCACCTAAGTGATTGTGTTGTGCAACTCTAAGGATTTAACAAACTTGCTTAATAATAGTTAATATTAAAAAAAAACTTGTAGGAGCTTAAAATATATCATTTGTTTTTTGTTTCATAATTTTTATTTATTTTATTTTTTTTATCGTAAAATTTTTGCGGACTCAATATAATTTTGAAAAATACATTTTTTGTTACACTTGAGATACGTTTAGATTTAGTGATAAGCCTAATCTCTAGTGGTAAGAGATTGCATGCTTTGGGCAAAGTATGAATAAAAAATCTATGACATATATTTTTCTGAAATCTTTAGGTTGGCAGTAACTCATTAGCAGTACTACGGGTTTGATAAACTAAAGGTATTTATTTATACAAGTTCATACAAGTTTACAAGTTTATTAATAATGTAATTTCTGGAATATAAAACAGCAAGCGCCTAAGTGAGTGAACACTTGTATTGCGCTGGTTAATATATGTTTAATAATTTAATTTAATATAATAAAATTATTGTAATAATATTGCGTAAATCTTAGAATAAAATAATGATGTGATTACAGATGTATATACCTACCCTACTCTAGAATTTTTATAAACTCATAATAATGTAAGAAAATAAATGTTTTACTTAGTTTAGAAACAGTTTTTTATGTTTGTAACATTCCTTATACTATGTGGTAAAAGGTTATATGTTTTTAGCAATGTATATACCAAGAATCTATGACAAAAATTTCTATTAAATTTAGGAAAATAGAGTAGCTTATTGGAAATACTTCGCGTACTATACACAGAAGTTACGTAATTTTGTTTAGACTTGTTGTTAAAAGCATATATACAAAGGCTGTGAAAGTAAAGCGATCTAATATTACAAATATCTTCTGTATACAGCAAGTTAGTGTGATAGCGTTTATTTCGGCTATAAATAATTTTTAATATATAATTTTGTGTAACATTCAGATTTTGTAAAGAGTTCTTATACAATCCACTCCATACTAGAATACCGTAACGAAATAATGATTCAGCAAGAGATTTGTAAGCTAACAAGTGTTTTTGACAAAATTTCACGTAATTGATAGAATTTATAAATGAGTTTCCTTACTTTTTGTCAGGTAATCAATATGGTTACTCCATTTTAAATATTGGTCAATGATTATTCCCATTTGTTTCTTTAATTGTCTCATTCATACCTTTAATTTTGCATCTGTAAGACTAAAAGCAATATAGCGAGTTTTATTTATATTTAGTGATAGCTGA